AGCAGGAAATTTCCAGTTTTTATTTTCATAAAATTCCCTTGGAAATTCTGAGTTCTGATAAGTTCAACTAACATGTGAAGTACCTTTATAAATCCAAAATATTGAATTCTCTCCTTAACTGGACCACAACACAACAGCACATGGAGCTGAAAAACAGTAATGACCAAGAATTTGATGCAATTTTCTAGTTGAGACAAGAGACTTCACATCACTTGAAAAGAAAAGTATACCCTCAGTTCTAGAGGGCTGTAGAATACAGTGCCACTAGCTCTCATGTTTGTATCTGTTCAGGGCAAAATCAAGCTGAAGAAGTCAACACTTGCTTCTTTTATAAGATTTGTCTTATAAATAGCATATTTCTTGTTTTAGGTTTTGGATTTGTATTTTGAATATCCTTTTATTTGTACCCCTGTAAACCTCAGGCTCATATTCTTTTGACTTTGAGAACACTCTTGTGTTTTGCATTTATGCTTATGAGAGATCCACACACACACACACACACACACACACACACACACACACACACACACACGCACACACTGAATCTCCAAGCTTCATATCCTTTTTAACCTTCATTTCTGTTAAGACAATTAAAGGGGAAAAAGGCTTTCTATTAAACCTCCTTATAAATGCTGTTTTTATTTCTTCATGGGTCTTCCTGTTAGATGTAATAGGAAAGATATGAATAAAAAGGGCTTTGCCATCTGAGATATCTATATTAAAATGTAGATTTCTGCCTCTGGATTGTCAGAGCACTTCTTTCATTGAGTCCTTTGACATTGAATTGCTTCATGAATAAATATTGCATAGTCACATTTTACAGCATTTGCTAGCTTCCTCCCTTTTTAATACCAGCTTTCTAGTTTGGGTTATATCAAGATTTAAAAGGTGTAGTTGTCCTTCCACTTTTATAATCCCTAAATGTCATAATTTATTGTTAATGTTATGCATGACCAATCCAAAGGCTTTGGTTCTGATCACTAAGGCTGAGAGAATAAATGTGAATAAAATAAAAGCATACACATAACTTCTTGAAAATAGTCTAGCCAAGTGCTCAGTGGCATTCTCTGCACTAAAACATTTTTGTTGTCTGTCATCTAAGGCTTTTTATATGCACTTCAATATTAGCATTTGATAAGAATATAAAATAGGAAAAGCCCGGACATTCCACCATCTATATTTACATTTCTTCCAAATTGCTGAAGGTTCTCTACCTTTCTAAATAAATGCATTTCTAATAAGTTTGTCTGTCTCTTGGTAATCTCTCCTTAAGTAGGCCTTTGTAGAAAAGTTTGACTAATAAAAAAACCTATACGAGAATGCTGGACACAATCAGTTTGAAAGGGATAAGCATGGTTTAAAATGCCTTTCTTTCCTTCCCTGCCCGTGTAAAACTAATAATTGCAGGGTAGGGATTCTTAGCAGAAAGTTTCTCTCCTCCTTTTATAGCAAGATATCATGGCATAAATATAAAACACAGTATGTAAACAATTTAATATAATTGACTCCAGAGTACTATGAAATATTGAAGATATCAGGTATATAATCTATGACACATACTGAGGAAAAAATGACACCAGAGGCTACAATTCATGAACAACAACCTTAACACAGAGATGAAAGGATGAACATTTGCTTTCAGGTACGAGTGATATTCCCACTGATTTCAGACATACATATATCTATGAATAATGAAGCCTAGAACAACTTAAATATGTCCTCTGTGCTTGAATTCCTGTAATCTTTATTCTTCTAAAAAAAGTTTATTCATAGGTTGAAGGTTAGATTATACTAATTATGAAGTACTTCATCTATCAACCTAACCAAGTCATTCAATGAAAATTCAGAAAGCATTTTACAACACAAGTACAAAATAAAAATAGTTTATTTGTACTGTACAAATTTAACTGAGTCACCCACTTAAGACAAACCATTAAACTAATGTCAAGACATGCTGCACAAGTGAAAAACATATTTACTGATAAAAACAACATCAGGGAGTACCTATAAATGCAGATCAATTGAACAAAAAAAATTTGTCTCACAAATTTGACTTAGCACTATTTACATCCAAAGTTCATTCAAAGCATTTAAAATAATATACTGAATGATCTTATTCAGAAGTATGTTGTATATATAGACACTTGGGTGGGCTGGTTCAGTCAGGGATGATTTTACCTTGAGCAGGGGGGTAGACTATACAATCTCGTGAGGTTCCTTCTAGCCTTACTTTCTTACGAAAGTAGACATAATGGCTAAGGACAGACATTACACCTACCTCACTTTAAGAGGCAGAAAGAGCTCTAAAGTCATAACTGAACCATTCTGGCTCTTAGAGAGATTTAAAAATACTTTAAATGAGCTTTGAAAATGGCAGATTGTGTTCTAAGTTGACCCTTGATGAATGAGGTATTAAACTAAAGAACTTTTTGTTAGAGCGCTTTATTAAATGTCTGTGCCTGATCCCATCAAGGGTTAACTTAGAGCACAACTGGCGCCATTCCAGGCAGTGTTGCACTCTAAGCTTTGGGTAGAGCAAATGAGCTCTGCCTAAGTGCTGGATTGGCACTGTCCCCCCAGCTGTCATCAACTGAAATCAGTAACAGCCTCTGATCATAGCCTGGTGTACAGCCTAGCCAGGGGGAGGGGTCTTTTAGGGGAAGTGAGGTTTCTATCTCTGTAGCTGCCTCAGTCCTGAGGTGTGCCACAGCCCAGATGGAGGCGGGGGGGAGGCGGAGGGCTGCAGGGGAAGGGGTCTGGGGTCTCTCACCTTGCAGCTGCCCTGGCCAGGCAGCAGTGTACCATTGCTTGGTTGAGAGGCTGCAGGGGTAGAGCTCTGGGGTCCCTCTGCCTGGAGTCCCCCCACCCAAGCAGTGGGGTGCCAATGCTTGCCTGGGGGGTATGGGAGAGGGGACCCAGGGTCTCTCCCTGCAGTTGCTGCTGCCAGATTGCCAGCTGGTGAGGAGGGCTGGGGAGGGCTGGGGAGACGGACCACTCTGGCAGCCTTCTGGGAGGCCTGTGAAAGCACCCCTAGCAGCCAATGGAAGGAGGCTTTAAACACCGCCTCCCCTCCCCCCCACCCACTGAACAGCAAACATCTGTTCAGTTCACTCTTGCTCAAATTTACAGCACTTTCAGAAAGCCCCTGCTGGAAGTGCTATAACTATTGTGCTTTACTTAATGTCTATACTTAAGCAATGACATCTTTTTTCCTCTTAATTTTCTAGCCATGGCTCCTTGGCCTCCAAGGTTCCATGGCAGCCTGTTTGCTGAACTTCTGAGGCCCTGCAAAGATAACTATTGGGCTATCAGAAAGACAGGTTTCTTTTGAAATTTTCAAAGGATTGTATTTGCAAGCTTGTCTATCACAACTATGCAGCTGGTCCACTATACAGCTGGATCACCACAGCTACGTCTCTTATACTACTATCAGACTAAAAGCACTCTGAAGCTTTGCCCTGCAGAGGCTATATTTTCCTATGGAAAAAACAACAAAACTCACTCCACTTGAAAATATCTGTATAGCCCTAGTATCAAGCAAAAGTACTTAAGTAGATTTAAAAAAAAATAAAGATAATTCTCTCTCTCAGGCCACCTCTTTCAGAAGCCTTGTCATTTTTACCAACTGCTATATTCTAAGACTGTAAAAAGATTCAAAATAGCAGACTCAATAAGGGTTAAGTTCACGTCTTTCAGTTGCACACCATTTTGAACCATGTGACTTCCACAGAGTTTAGCTAAAGCCCCACACAATATTTTGAAAATGTATTGCAAAATGTTGAAATGTAAAAGAACGTCTTAATACAAAATATTTTTCACAGTTCTAATGAGAGCTTGGAAAACAGGCAGAGAGAATCAGAAGTCAACAAGCTGATAAGAGATAACAAGGTCACAAAAATCCTTGCTTGATTGCAAAACTGATTATCTGCAGGAAATTGAAGGTAGATTTTCTAGACTAATAGCCTTTAATTATACAAAACTATTTCTGTGATATTTGGAAATATCTCTGTAAAGACTGTTAATACTCCACTATTCAGTCATAGCACATTTGGTTATAACTGGTTCTAAGACATAAGCATCTCCCTAACAATGTTCTGTTGCTGGAAAAATTATTTGTTTTAACCTTTAATACATTTTGAAATATCCCACAAGATATTTCCTTATAGACTTCTCTATAAATGGTTTGCCTATTGGGAATTTGCTAGCCTGTGGAAAAATTGCAATACTACCTTATACTTCCAAAAACCTCTGGTCATAGTGAAGTTCCTATAAAAGCAGGGAACATTCAGCTCCTTACTTTTTGATTGCAGTTAAACTATATTACAAGTAAAAGAACAGTTTATCAAAGCCCATATTGTCACTGAAACGGCAGTGATGAGAAACCAAGACAGATGTATGTGTCACCGACTCTTCTCCCCTTGACTCCTCTCACCCCTTGCTCTGCCAAATATCATTAAATGAAAGTCTTGCTGAGAAACAGTCACAACAATGCTCCACAAACATTTCTCTCAGTCAACTAAGTGCTTCATCCAACAATACCTACAGATGAGAAGTCTGCTTTTGCCAATTCTTTCCTGGGACAAAACTAATTACCTTTATATTATCCCAGAAGGCAGTTTTCCCTTTCTAGAATATATCAATCTATTTGGACATTAGCAACAGCTTAATGCATCACAGGTTACATATCAAGAAATAACAGACTTTTTTTAGATTAAACATAGAATACACCAATTCAGGCTTTTTTTAAAAAGAAGGACATGAGGGACTTCACTCTTTTCTTCCTCCTGATATTAAATATTATTTCAGTGTTCAGTCAAAATAGCCTAAAATATGACCATGGACACCTGTGTAAATAAGCAGTTCTCAATACAAGTTTCACACATACTACCCCCAAAGCACATCTATTCTTCATAAAAATGATCAAACAGGTTTTGTTTCTTTATCTCTGCTGTTATTTAATTTCCATATAAATCATGGAAAGTTGTAGATTGTAAACTGAAGTTAAACCACTAGTGGTTTAATAGGCCTTACCTCTGTCACTGAAGTCATCCACAAGAATTATTTCAGCTATCAAGCTGTCTGGAGTCCGGTTGATAATGCTGTGTATAGTTCGCAAAAGTGAAGTCCAACCTTCATTATGAAATGGGATAATTATGCTAGTATTTGGCAGCTTTTCCAAGTACACCTTGTGCTTACAGCTGAGGAGAAAGAAGCAATGAAAGAAAATTTAAGAACCCAAAAGGGAAAACTACTTTATACAACCAATGCATAGATCAATTTTGTACAATATAAATTACCCTGGGATTCATAGAAGACAGATATGCACCTCCCCAAGCAGCACTTACAGTTTCTCATGACTACATGGTTTGCCTTAATCAAATGAACACCCCAAGATAACCTACAGACAAACACCAGTGCAGAGCTCTACACATCCTGTCCATTCTGTCTCTATAGCAGCTTCCTCACCACTTTCATCTGTCCAGGCCCTGAACTATATTTAATTTACTTTAACTGATGGATAGCTACGAGGTCATTGTTTATTAACTGTGCAATAATGAGAATTTTAATAAATATGACATAATTTGAAAAAAGAAAGAAAAATGGAAGTGCATCTGTACAAAAGGTACAGAATTAGTCTCTTGCATCTGCACAACCTCATTCCATTGGAGAAGATAATTAAGTGAAGTTCACTGCTTCAACCCAACTGATGGTTAACTGGATCCTATTTTACTGGCTGGAATATGTCTTGCATATGCCAGACAACTCCAGTTCTAAATCTAAAATATTCAGTATAACTTGAATCATTACTTTTATAAAATGTTACCACAAACATCTCTCTTCAGATGTAAATCAATGTTAGCAAGAATATACAAATAATTCTTATATGTAAATGAAGAGGCAGAAAGTTGTTTTATGAAGTGCTTATTAACAAACTGCATTTACAATACCAAATATTTAAGAGCTTATCAGTCCATAACACAACCCTTCAATTCTATACCAAAAACATTGTATCAGCAGTGGATAGTTAAAAAGAGGGGAAAGGAGGTGGTATGCCATATTGGTCTGGAGTCTGGCAGAAGGCAGGACAGGGTGACACTTTTACACATGCTCCCGGGGTGGGAGCGGGGGGGTGCTTTAATTAAAGGAGCTCCAAGAGCCACTTTAATTAAAGCACCACAGCTTCTCATTCTACGAGCTTAGTTAAAGTACCCCCGCAGCCATTTTGAAATGCAGAGACACTGATACATGAGATGCAGAGGCTGGCTGGAGCATGGTAATTACCATGCCCCAGCAGACTCGATTAAGTGAGCCTGCTGACGTGCTGTAATTACAGTGTGCCAGAGCAGACTCACAACACGTATTCAGGCACCCTTAGATGCTAACTGGTTCAGAGGCACAAGCAACTTACTATAAGTTGTCAGCATCTGACAAAGTAACAACACATTTTGTCAGATGCTATGGGTACATACAGGTGTTACATTGTGGTGGACCTAAACAGGTTAGGAGGTGTTCACAGGGCTTAAATTGCTGGAAAAAATAGCATGCTTAAAATCTAAGTTAGTTCACCTAAAGGAGGTGAACTAACTAACTTTAGATTGACCTGAGTCACCCTGATCTAAAATGAGTTAATTCATTCTAGGGAACACCTGCACACATTCATAGCACAGTCTGTTGTCCACACAGGGCGTACCGTGTGAGTTAAAAACAAGCAGGGATCTTATCAGGGATAAGGCACAATACCACATGTATTCAAACAAAAAAATTAAAACATGAAAAGACTAAAGAACAGTAAGGTTATCTGCTTCACTCATTCCCATACATACTCATTCATTCATTCATACAAAAGAAACAAGAAACAAGGTGTTACCAAATTCTAGATAACTCAGTTCAGTTTGCTGGCTGGGCAGACTGACCACGAGGGATGGAGTCAGGTCTTGTTGGACCCACCCAAAACTCCTTCTTGAAGGTGGAAAGACCCAAAGCCTTTTCTTTGTGTTCATTCTGTCTAGTGATAGCTGTCCGTACAAGCCTATGGATTCTGCTGAATCAGACACGAAGGCCACCCTCCTTGTCCTGTTGGCAGGCTGGGATTGGTAGGACATGATCTTCTGGCTTTGCGGCCTGAAATTTTTGGAGGGGTGGGGAGTGGTCATTGCTTGCAGTCTTCAGCTGTCAGTATGAACCATCATCTAGTATTTGATAATCCTTAACTGCTGACAACGTCGCTGCAACCTTTAACTGTTAAACCACAGAAGGCTATTTTCTCCTGCTGCAAGAGGACTGTCTTCATTCACATTATCACATACATACATCATTCACTTATTCATTACTTCTTTCTACATATGCCAGACATACCACAGATCTTACATAAGCATTTTCCTTATACTAAATTTAATTCTAAAATCATGAGACCAACAGGTCAAATATATTTATGCTAAGCAATAGGAAATTTGACATAGATGGTTAATTCCAGAACACTAATAATGACTGACAAAAATACTATAAAAAGTAAATCATAACAAGATTAACTTTATCTTAATGGATAAATAATTCATTATATAAAAAGAAAAATAACAATTTAAGCAATCAAAGCAATTATAGCTACTGCAATACAATGAGTCCTAGGGCTAGGAATGGCCAGCTACTTGCCCCCGCTCTGGGACTGTGTTGTTCCTACCCCACTTAATCCCAAGCAGGCTATTTTTAGCCCCTTGACTACTCCGTTCAAATCAGGCAACCCCCTGGACCAGCAAGATCCTTCCTCCCCCAATCCTGACATCTCTCCCCGCGATACAAATTACTTACACCTTCACTTACCTATGCCAGTCCTGGCAACAGTGAATGGCTGCACATGCCACACCCAGTAAACCATCTAAACCTAAACCAGGTCCTACAAATGCTTGTTTGCATCCTATGAAAGGCTGACAGAAAGAAGGGGTATGTGACAAGGTAGGTTGTAGCCTGCAAAAGCTCATGCCTCTATGAACCAGTTAGTCTCTAAAGAGTATAACAAGATATAAGGCCCTGCATCATGAATGCCACATGCCCTCAGAGGTTGTGGGGTGGGGCACGGTGAGCTGTGGTAGGCAGTGGTGGTGCTTTTGGTGACGGGAGCATGGCAGCAGTAAGTTGGGAGTTTCTGGAGGCAGCTGTATTGTAGCCTGCAAAAGCTCATGCCTCTATGAACCAGTTAGTCTCTAAAGAGTATAACAAGATATAAGGCCCTGCATCATGAATGCCACATGCCCTCAGAGGTTGTGGGGTGGGGCACGGTGAGCTGTGGTAGGCAGTGGTGGTGCTTTTGGTGACGGGAGCATGGCAGCAGTAAGTTGGGAGTTTCTGGAGGCAGCTGTAGCACTGTCAGTGGCAAGGGGGTGAGGGGGGAGGTGCTGAGCACTGAAGAGCGGACCTGCAGTCGGTGATGGTCAGCAGTGATCATGGACCATCCACAGATGCCACTGACAGCGTCGGTGGTGTGTGTGTGTGGGGGGGGGAAGGGGTAGCAAGCGACAACTGCCCGTAAGTGCTGCCAACAGTGTTGGTGGTGCCTTTTTGTAGGGGGTGCACCGCCATGGCCAGGGGGTTCACATGCACCCACGTGCACCCCCTACACATTGTCAATGCCCTACATACAGGTCACTGGTTCAAGGTTAATAGAGAGGGAACATCAACATGGTCTGATTTCTTCTCATTAGATTTTGGGAAGAATCAACTCAGCTATTAAGGGACTATTAAGCAGAGCCTGCTGAGTTGCCGGCCCCCGCAGGCAACATGGTCCCAACTGCAGCTACCGCCCCTGCTCTCCCCAAGACAAAACGTAAGGTGTTTGTTGTGGGAGACTCCCTCCTGAGGGGGACTGAGGGGCCAATCTGCCACCCCGACCCCTTAGCCCGGCAAGTCTGCTGCTTCCCGGGGGCCCGCATCTGGGACATTACGGAGAGGATCCCAAAGCTCCTTAAACCCACAGACCACTATCCCATGCTCCTTATTCATGTGGGCACCAATGACACTGCTAGGAGCACTCCCAGCCAGGTCATGAGGCGCTACAGGGATTTGGGAGCAGGGCTTAAGGGTCTGGGGGCACAGGTAGTGTTCTCGTCGATCCTCCCAGTCTCAGGCTATGGGCTGAGAAGGGACAGGAGGATCTATGTGGTCAACCAAAGACTGCAGCGCTGGTGTCGTCAGGAAGGCTTTGGCTTTCATGACCACAGCCCGCTCTTTGGCGAGAGAGGCAGCGAGCTGCTGGGAAGAGATGGCCTCCACCTCTCTCCCCTAGGGAGGAGGCTCTTCTCAGCCAGACTGGCTGACCT